ATCTGTGCTTGGCAAAAAATTACTGAAGAGTTCAATAACGGACCCAAACAATGAAAAAATCAAGTACAACTACCCCTCACCCTAGCCATTAACTGAAGCAGTGCTCTGTAGCCCAACTGCCTATAGCAGAATGCCCACAAGATTGCATGAGAGTTTGCTAGAATCTGGTACCTCTTCAAGGCAGATCAAGAAAAATCACCAACATGTGTTACGCTCATGTGAGGAGTAGCTAGGAGGACACAAGACACTAGTAGCAGTGTCCGGCAGGAGTAGGTGCCAGAGTAGCTGTTGCTGCAGAATCTTTCTCCGGCAGCCCTGGCTTGGCCCCCCTGATGCTGGGGGAAAATCAGCCCAGATTCTGAACTTGCTGGGGCAGCTTCTCAGGTTGGACAATTTGCAATATTTGTTCAGATGTCAGTTAGCGAGCGTTTACTCTCAGGACTTTCCCAAGCCTGGGTGTGGGGGAACACTCCCTTCTGGCACCTCAGCTTTTTTACCCCAGCATAAAACAGAGTAAATAAATACATACACTGGTAGAAAAGAAAGAAGGAAAAAGGGTGGGGGTGGAGAGGGAAGGTCTCTAAGCTCTGATCTTACAGCTCTGGAACTTCACCAGTTCCAGCATGAAATCAAGCAGCCTACCACTCTCCTGACTTTCCTACAGCAGGCATATGAAGGACTACGTGAATCTGATTTATCTCCCACCCCCTTGCCATTTTCCGATCTTTCTCTTCCTTTGCTGGGCACACTGGGGAATGGGAAGAAGGATGAGAACAAATATTTGATCCATCCATTTTGCACCAGCAGAGGGATTCCTGAGGAGGGAAAGCAATAGAAGGAAAAACAGGATACTGGGTACAGCATGTTGGTTGCTGTGAGACATCAGGAGATGCATGACAGCCTACATCCATTCTTCTTGGGACATAAAGGCAAACGCATTAGCTGGCAGATAAACACGTATCCTATACTCCTGTCTCACCATAGGTTGGAGCTCTGTCCCATCTTCATTGTCCTGGAAAGGTCTCAGGCTTCTGTGTTTTTGCCCTTCTGTTAACTTGTTACTCTGACTCACAAAGGTCTACAAGCAAAAACCAGGGTGAGATCACTTGGGAATGCAAACCATTACGTAGATAAAAATACCCCATAAAAGAAGATAATTAGCCTGGAGCTAAGAAACTGTAGCTGGTTCCTAGCTGGATGACACTGAGTGATACCAGGAGGTATTCTGCAGAGGCAGCAAGGGTGACGAATGCAACTGAGAAGGATGAATCAAGAATCCCTGTTACATCTCCTACTACAGGAATGAGGACTCTGGCTGTCTGAAATCCCTCACTCAGCTCTCCGCCCACAGCCGCATACTGCCCTGAGGGCCACAGCGCCTCCCTTCCACCCCCAGATGTTTGTAACCCGACTGTAACACAGACAGCCCAAGTCAAATGCCTTCATGTGTTGGGAAACTCCAAGTTCTTGGCTACGTGAGTAAACTTACTCTTGTTCATGCAATGAGGAGGAGTTTGGATGTGCTGCCCCCAGTTTTTCCATACAAGGTTATACAGCCTGCCCTGCCTGGAAGACTGCTTACCCCTGTGGGAAGTCCTCTCTTCACCCAAGGCCCTAGGGCATGGCTGATTACAAGGAATTAAGACCAGAGTTAAAGTGAAACTACCGCAAAGTTTGGAAGTGGAGAAAGGAAAGCCTCTGTTCGTTTCATGATGGAGAATTGGCTTAAGAAGTATTTTAGCATTTTGCAAAACAGAGGGAGAAGAACAGAGGTCAAGGCTTCAGAGTTTTCCATTCAGTAACTTATTCCTATTCAGGACACGTGCTTAAGTACTGTTCTGAATTAAGGCCAAAGAATATCCATCTGCTTTCTTCTGTACAAAGGGTTAAGCCTATCTTTAGGCTGCCTTTTTGTTTGTTTTTGTTTTCAACAAAATTCTATGAACATTACAGGGAATCTAACAGCAACATTAAAAAAAAACAAAACAGTTCTTCTACACTGCCCTGAAGAAATCTATCCAGAAGATTCATATCATATGAGCTGTTCTGGCTGCTGAGTTTGTTTTTCATGAATCACTAAGATTTTCTTTGTCGCATGGTTTATGAAGGAAAAGACAGAACTCGCAAAAATAGCATGAAAGGAAAAAAACATCTGCATCTTCAAATATTCTCTTAATATGAAAGGGATGGCATATATACATTCAAATGCTTCAGATACAGCTATTAACTAAAGCTTTCCATCACTGTTAGCTACGTAATGATTCTCCATGGAAATGCTTGTAATACAATACCGTAATGAGGGTAAAGACACAGACCAACCAGTCCAGAGGCAGAAGAATTTAATCACGAGACAGAAGAGGGTATTCTGGCAAAAGAATCTCTATAGGTATGAAGCAGAGCAACGCGAGTTTCCATGAAGTTTGTTCAGAACTACAGCATCCCTAGGATGTGGATGGATACCTGACCCGCTGCTGGCAGCAAGAAGCTCCGTGTTGCTTACTTTTGCTCGTCACTGTATGGTAAGTCACAACAAATATAAACATCTAATCTTAGGGCACCCCATGGATTGTTCTCTGCAGCTAGCTCATTTATTTATTTATATTTTTAAATTACCAACAATATATTGAATATATATCTAATAAGGCCTAAAAAGACAGCCGTTACTTACAGGGTATGATCTAAAAGAAGGCAGCAGATCATAGCTAGCACACAGGAGCCAGGGGGAGCCATTTACTTCAGTTTACAAATTTATAAATTGGTATCCCCAAGCCCATCCTGTTCTAAGGTGTTGGAAAGGAAATAGCATGGGTTGTGGGTTCAAATTACTAGGTCTTGGGGAAAGAAAAAGCCCCCAAAAACTTAGAACGGCTCAAATATCTTTGCTGTTATCACTGAGGTTTACCAGCAGTTCCTGCTCCACGAAGTACGGCTTCTCTGCGGATCCATCATTTGTTTCCATATCAATAGCAAAGCAAAGGAACATGGCATCTGCTGTCACTTCAAACACAGACAGAAAGCTGTGGGACATCAGGTAGGCAAAAAATCCAACCATCAATAGAGGAACTACCCAAGCTTGCAGTTCCCGATGGTAGTTAAATGCCATCAATCCTCCAAAAACAGTAAAACATACAACAAACACCTGTAAAGGGCAGTGAGAGAGAAATGCAGCCTCATTAATCACGTAGCAACGTTTCTTAAAAAAACCCAAGCCCCCAAAACCCTAAGGCAAATACATTACAGCCAATGTTTTAACAGCACTTTTCATCTGGGAGATAGCTATGCAGTTTCTGGCATCACGTAGTTGTCACACTTTGTGTTCAATTCAGTGTGTAAATTCTGTAGGGCAGAGGCAATCTTTTACTATATATTTACCAAAGACTCGTTGCAACAGGAACTGTAAGAGTAGCGCCAAGGACACTACTGTAATACAACTAAATAACTCTGTAAAGACTATGAAAAGGATTAAATTCCTCCAACATTATCTTCTCTCCCGAACTCATTTTACAGCATTAACAACACTGAGTTTAACAAAGGTAAACCTTATTTACTTTCGGTGTAAGAGATTCAAACCCTGATTTTTCACTTCATCCTTACAGAACAGTACTTTTCTTACTCTTACCTTTCCTAGAAACAGGATAAAATCTCCAAAACAGCTAATGGATGCAAGTTTAGCAGAATTCTTCTCCAAAATAAAGACAGCATCCTTTGCTGATGTACAAAAATTTGTCCCATTTATGGCTGTAGTTGTGTATGCATGCTGAAATGAGAGAAGATAATAATGCAATGAGAGAGGAAAAACTCTTCTAATCTAGATTTTACTTCAGCAAAATACAAAGCCTTAAACTCTATTTGGAAATACTAACATTATGAATATAAAGAGCTATTTTACATAATGTGGCAATTTTATTTTAAGTGACTACAATAACTTGGCTTCTAACTTCAGATAGTTTTTTTCTACAAAATTTCCACCATTAGCAAATGCTAGAATAGTGACTAAATAAATTTCTGAACCCACCTTTTTCCAATTTACTTTAGAACACCAACGTTCTCTACCCTATTTTTGTTAATGAATACAACACAATTACCACAAAACACTTACTTACCTGGAGTCACACTATCCAAACCTACTTGCTTATTTTCTATGAATCTATCTCCAAGACTGCTGGCAAACTACGTAAGTGGAACAACCAAGTTATGCAGTTATCAAGTCATTTAAAAGTTGATGATTAAAAAGCTTTTATACCTGGCCTTTTCAAACTATTCATATGCTACTGAAATTCAAGCTTATGACTATAGCCATAAAATAAAACTTTTCATGAAAGATGAAACCAATTGTGAAAATGACTGGAAAAGAACAGCTAAAGGATCCTGGACCAGACCAGCGAGTGTTATGTCACAAAAAAACCCCCCAGAATTTCAACAGCCCGTAGGGGCACTCACACTTTTTTGAGGTATTGAGAATTTTACAAGATTCCTCTTTGTGGAAACCTGCCAAGACAAGTGGGGAGGACAGAATATTTACCCTCATGAATTTGATTATTTTAGCGCTAGTCGTGCATACCTTGACATATACGTCCCATTTATGGAACCCCTCAACAAGGTTATGAAACTGTGTCCAAAATACCAGCTAGGAAAAACAGCAGTCAGGATACCTGAAATGTATGCTGAACTTTACCAGCAAGTTTTATGAGTAGTTTCCCTTTACTCAAAATATTAGAAGGTGGATTATGCCACAAAACATTCGTTACATCTGGTACGGCCAGTAAGAACCACAGTGTGCAAGGAATTACTGTTCTGAAGGAATTTATACACCACAATGCGTACTTGGTGCTTAGATTACTTTCTGCTTCACCTGGTTGTGAAAAAAAAACCAAAAAACCTACTTTGCTGAAAGTGAATTATACTGGCCTACTGCAAAACACTTCCCGTTGAAAAATCTGGTTTTTCTCACTTACAAATCAGAATATAAAATAGCTTCAGATATCCAAAGGCAGAGAGAATTTATTTCTGCAGAGTCCAGTTTTACCCCATAGCAATTTTGGTAACATACTGTAGCGTAGCAAAGCTATATTGACATTATCTTAAAATATTAAAAGAGAAAGACAGACATTAAATGCAGTCAAAGATCCTTTGTCTCTTTATTGTGGATATTATTTATTTTATATATGACAAAGGATTTTTTTTTCTCTGCTAGTAAGCAAAAAAAGAGTAGAAGTAAACAGTGACATCCTGTAAATATTGTACTTGCGTAGTAGCAAATACATCCATAGATGGAAAAAGTATAAATAAAGACCATGGATTTATTGCCTATTCTAAGAAGAATCAAAGGCTCCACTGAACTCTACAGAAACACGTAGAGTGTCTGCATAAAAACGTGTTTAAACAAGCAAGTTCACTTCATTCCTAAATAGGAAAAAACGCTTTCTGTGCTAACTTTCATTTATACTGACGCCGTTCCTTTCCCCGGGGAGTGCGGTGTACCCTTTGGCTCGGTCAGGCACTGACTGCCATACCTTTGCCTTCTCAGTTGCCTACGCCTCTGAAAGAGAAGAATCCTTGTCCCACCTGCCTCACTCAACCTGACCAGTTTGCAAGCAGCCTGCTGCCATCCCACATGAGGAAACCCGACGGTCTGCAAGCTCGCCTGCAGCGGCAGCGGCCCAGGACAGGGTGGCGGGAGAGCTGGCGGTTTGGTAAGGCCAGCACCAGCCTTGCTGGGCTACCGCCTCCCCGGGCTACCGCCTCCCCAGGACGCAGGCGTAGGGCAGATGGCCTCAAGTCAAGCACCCTCTCTCTGTCTTCCGTCTGTAGCTGTCACTGCATATTTCAAACATGGGTAGACCTATCTGCATAACATGCTCTGAGTTCAGTCTGTTTCACCATTCCCATTAACAGACGGGAAATTGAGACTCAAAGTGCAAAAGGGCTTTCTAAGTTTGTTTCTGTCCCTTAAGAACTAAATTCACAGAGCAGATCCTGATCTGGTGAGGTCACTACAAATTTTGCCAATAAATTAAACAGAGATTCTGTATTCATTATAAATAGCAAAAAATGTGCTGTTTTAAAAATTAAAAAGAATGTTGAAAATGCACGTGCACTTGTACAAACACTGTTTCCAAACTTAAAATAAATAACCATTTGTTTGCACTCTTGAATTAGCCACTTTGGTATCCGAGGAATGTGCAACGAAAAGAATTTCTGATATTTATTAACTAGAACAGTTATCTTGGAAAGACTGAAAATAATGCTGGAGACTGAATACTACCTGCATACGAACTTGTCATGCTATAAACCAGTTGATAAAAAATGGCATTTATAACAATTACAGCTTCAACAAATCATGTAAGTACCAACTAGTCATAACATCCAAGCACGAAAGGCAGCCAGGTAATGATCCAACATTATAGAAGGAATAAGAGAGACACAGAAATGAATGAACTGCTGAAGGCTACAGAACTAGTCACTGACATAGGTGAAGCAAGAATGTTACTAGTACGAGCTGAAGACTTAGCCAAGTGATCTTTAACTTTCAGAAAAAAAAACATTTCTAAGGGAAAAAAATATATATATTTGGAGGGTTTCTTGTTCAGCCTAGACTGTGGCTCCATACACTTTCCTCACAATTCTCAAGTTTCCCATACAGGCCTCATACCCTGATCCCATCCAGCCCCATAGAAATCTACACATTCTCCCTACCAAAATACCTGTCTAACATTTAAGCAAATGTATGTTTCCATGAAACTCAGAGTTGCACAGAAATGAGCTCAAATGATTTTACCCACCAAAGAACACCTAACACACGCAAGCTATTAACAAAATTTGCAAATCATTTTGGACTTCGGACTAAGAAGCTTAGATATCCCATTAATTTTCCACTTACAGGGTATGTGCAACAACCCAATCCCTTTCAAAGAAAAGACAGTTGCGAAGGCTAAGATGGTAGACCACGGTCAGTTAAGAACCTGCTGTCATTTAGAAACAGGTTATTTAAATGTGTTTTTCTACAGAATGTATTTTCTTTTCCCATGCACAAAAGCTTTAGTGGACTTGAAAATGTTTGAGAGAAGGGCAGCAGGA